TAGAAAGCCATACAAAAAGACTGCCTGTTTGCCTGTGCAACAGTTGGGATGGCACTTGGCCTTCTCACTACTGCAACAGAATAAGAAGTGAGGAAACAGCAGTCAAAGAAAGCTTTGTCTGACTTCTTGAATGGTTATTTCGCACGTGCTCCAAAAATCTGCCTGGATCACTTCCACCATCCAGCTAGCTATTACAAGCACTGGGCTTTGTTACTTCTCTATCCATACCTGTCGTTAAAAATTAGGACATATATTGGGGAGTGGGAGCTGTCACACAACTCTCGTAGTAACCAACTCTTGGAAATTCCTCCTCCATCATCTCCTTCTCTTCCTTCTCCTCCTCCTTCCTCATCTTCTTCGTCAGGTGCTGGCTGGATCCAAAAACACCTTTTACGGTCAGTATTTGGTATGCTGATCTGGGCCTTTTTGAAGCTTCTTTTCAGCTTATGCTTGCTCTTCTGACCCATGGGATTGACTGTGGTCCCGCAGTTTCTGTAGGATTGCCCTCCAAAACGTTTCTGTAAGGACAGCTGGTGCAGGTTTTAACAGTTAGCCTCTGGCTGAATATTGGGAGGCGATAATATATTCAGCCGCTTCTGCTGCAATTGTGTGATCTGTGCCTGTAAGCTTTCTGACCTCATTCAGGCTGCTGGTATTTATTTTTTTCAAAAATTGTCATGGCCTGGAACTGTCACACCTAACAGCTCAGAGCTGAGTTGTGTATGAGGTTGGAACACGAACTCTAAAGTACAGGGTCTTCACTTGAGTTGTCCAAAGGCTTTAAATAGTTTTTTTCTAGAAGGAGCAGGACCAACTGTTAAAGGAATCCTCTGTTCACATTATTATTATTATTATTATTATTATTATTATTATTATTATTATTATTATTAGAAACACAACGAGTCCACAGCAGACAAGATCACTCTGCTGGCTGTTGTATTGGATCATACATCAGACACTTCCCAAGTATCTAGGACTGCGTGATGTATTAGCAAATAATGTGTGCAGATCCCAGTAAGGTGGCCTTCTGCAGCTGGCAGATGGCAATTTTGTCAGCGCCAATTATGTTGTATTACATTTTTGACAGAACAAACATACATACAAAAGACACAGAGTTTGCAAGCTTGGTAGTTGATTAAATGTCCTTTGACCAGTATCTGGCCACTTGGAGTGCCTCTGGTGTTGCCGCAAGGAGGTCCTCCATTGTGCATGTGGCTGGGCTCAGGTTGCATTGCAGCAGGTGGTCTGTGGTTTGCTCTTCTCCACACTCGTATGTCGTGGATTCCACTTTGTAGCCCCATTTCTGAAGGTTGGCTCTGCATCTCATGGTGCCAGAGCGCAGTCTGTTCAGCGCCTTCCAAGTCACCCAGTTTTCTGTGTGCCCAAGGGGGAGTCTCTCATTGGGTATCAGCCATTGATTCAGGCTCTGGGTTTGAGCCTGCCACTTTTGGACTCTTGCTTGCTGAGGTGTTCCAGTGAGTGTCTCTGTAGATCTTAGAAAACTATTTCTTGATTTAAGTCGTTGGCGTGCTGGCTGATGCCCAAACAAGTGATGAGCTGGAGATGTCTCTACCTTGGTCTTTTCACTATTGGCTGCTACTTCCCGGCAGATGTGAGGTAGTGCAATACCGGCTAAGCAGTGTAATTTCTCCAGTGGTGTTGGGCGCATACACCCCGTGACAATGCTGCATGTCTCATTAAGAGCCACATCCACTGTTTTAGCGTGGTAAGATGTGTTCCACACTGGGCATGCTTACTCAGAAGCAGAGTAGCATAGCACAAGGGCGGATGTTTTCACTGTGTCTGGTTGTTATTCCCAGGTTGTGCCAGTCAGCTTTCGTATGATATGGTTTCTAGCACCCACTTTTTGCTTGATATTCAGGCAGTGCTTCTTGTAGGTCAGAACATGGTCCAGAGTGACTCCCAGGTATTTGGGTGCACTGCAATGCTCCAGTGGGCTTCCTTCCCAGGTGATCCTCAGAGCTCGGGATGCTTGTCTGTTCTTAAGGTGAAAGGTGCATGTCTGTGTTTTAGATGGATTAGGGATCAGCTGGTTTTCCCTGTAATAGGCAGTAAGAGCACCTAGAGCTTCGGAGAGCTTCTGTTCAACCATCTTAGAGCTCCCTGCTTGAGCAGTAATGGCACTATCATCAGCATAGATGATGCTCTCTGTCCCTTCTGGCAGTGGCTGGTCATTCGTGTAAATGTTGAACTTGGATGGGGCAAGCACGCTCCCCTGAGGCAGGCCGTTCTTCTGTTTCCGCCATCTGCTTCTCTGGCCCTGGAACTCAACAAAAAAGCTCCTGTTTTGTAGCAGGTTTCCTATGAGGTGGGTGAGGTGGTCGTCCTTTGTGATATTATACATTTTTCTCAGGAGGATGTGGTGGTTCACAGTATCATAAGCTGCGGACAGGTCTATGAAGACATATTTTCTGATTATCTTTGGGGACCCCTCTGAAAGTGGTCCCAACTCCCAGATTGAGAAACACTGTCCCAAGTGGTAACGATGTAAAAAGGAAGTATCTATAGTCAACAATGGTACTTCCTGCTCTTGAGATGCACATCACATACACACATGCCCCATTGCTACGTCTGTTAGTACTGATAAGCCTTGGATGAGACTCACATGTTTTAATAATGACTGCTTGTGAAACCTAGCTCCATTATCTCTGGAGTCAGTGGTAAACTTCAAAGGCACCACAAATTGGCAGCATGTCCAACAACCTGATGCTATTAGAGACATCTTTGAGCTTCTGCTGTCCATAGCTTCAAAATGAAATTACAGGGTCGGATTGCCATGGCATCAAAGCCTTGGAAATGAGGTGTTGCTCTGTCTTTTTCTTTCTAGCTCCCCTCCTCTCAGTGCTTTCTTTCCTTCTGCTATTTTGCAACCTTTTTTTTGCTATCTTTCCCACCTTCTTCTGCTCACTAGGAGGTCCTCGTAGCTGAGGAAACTCATCTTTTGTGCCAGCAAGAAAAGGACGTGTACTGATAAACACTACAGTATACGGAGTGGTCTTCCCTGCGTTGTGTTTCCAGCAGGGAGTTTTGCTTCAGTTTGCACCTTTGCCATTCTGCTCAGCCAACCCCAAGTTTTCCTGTTAAAACAGACTTTGCTTCATGCTGGATCGGGAATTACAATCTCTACGTTGCAATCTTTGCAGGCACCAGGCTCCCCAGGTGTCCAAAGACCTCCAAGTGCAATTCATATTGAATACATTTTTGGAGCCAGGCAGCCCTGCAGGGTTAATGCATTGGTTTTTTAATCCACCCCAAAGCCTTTGTGGCCTCTTTGCTCAAGGCACTTCTTTGAATGAGTTTAGCAGATCCACTCGTCGATAGGGAAAAAAAGTCAACTGCTGGTAGGTGAGCTCCAGGTCATTGGGACCAGCATGCCAGAACAAAGTTTCATCAAGGAAATAATTTAAATTATAGAGCTTATGTGATGGTGGGCAGCAAGGTAGTTTCGTTTGGAAGAAAAGTTTCAAGGAGACAGTGTCCTAGTTTTGCATGTGATCCAGTTCCTCCACTTTAAGAACTTGCGTTTTGGACAGCCTAATCTAATCACAAGTCAACAAAATCAAACTTTTTGTAATAATCAGGAGGTATGCCAGACCCTGTCTGAACTTGGTTGCTAAGCAGGGTCACCCCTGTTTTGTCCTTGGAGAGAAGACTGCCCACAAATGTTTAGTGGCGATCCCTCGTAGAGTTTGCCAAGGACCACTGGGACCACCTGTACTGGTTTATGCCAGAGCCTTTGCAGTTCAATTTTGAGGTCTTTATAGTGGCTGAGTTTTTCCTGTTGTTTTTCCTCAATGCGACTGTCACCTGGAATGGCAACATCAATAATCCAGACTTTGTCAGGCCTGGTTTGGAGTGCAGTTTTCTTGTACTGACTCTTTGTCTGCTGTGCTTTGAGAAGTTTCCGATTATTGGCTTCAATTAAAGCAGGTTCTTGGCTTTCCTTGACATATTCTGCCAGGGTGTGTGTTTTTTTTTTAAAATTATTATTATTATTATTATTATTATTATTATTATTATGGCACACACACACCAGAAAAACTACCCAGGTTCTGTGATGTATGTGAATTTGTATGTGTGAAAGCATAGACTTTGTAACTATCTCCCCAAAGAGTAAATTCTTACTGTGAGGTTAGCTTTGGAGAGTAACACTATTAAATGGTGTGGCAAAGTACATGTGTGATCCATGCTTCTGATGATATTGTGGTATTTTGTGAATATCTTCACATGCAATGTGAATAGATCAATAGGTACCGCCTCGGTAGGAATATCTTCACATACAATGTGAATAGATCAATAGGTACCGCCTCGGTGAATAGATCAATAGGTACCTTCCTACCGCCTCGGTAGGAAGGTAAAAGGCACCCATTAAGCTATGCTGGCAAAACACAACCAGGAGGTATCTACAGATAACAGATTCCTTGGTGTGGAAATGGAACAAGAGCATCTCCCCATGGCCAGAGTTGAGCACCTCCTACAGATGCCAGAGATTGAAAGGGAAACCTTTGCCTTTGTCTGTGTATTGTATGTCATTGTTGTCCAGTGTATAAAAGGCATTGAATGTTTGCCTATAATATGTGTATACTGTAATCTTTTCTGAGTCCCCATGGGGAGATAGAGAGGAATATAAATAAAGTGTATTATTATTAATATTATTAATATTATGGAGCCCCCGGTGGCACAGTGAAGACCAACAGATTAGAGGTTCGAATCCGGAGAGAGCGCGGATTAGCTCCCTCTGTCAGCTCCAGCTCTCCATGTGGGGGCATGAAAGAAGCTTCCCACAAGGGTGGTAAAACATCAAAACATCCAGGCATCCCTTGGGCAACATCCTTACAGACGGCCAATTCTCTCACACCAGACGTGACTTGCAGTTTCTCAAGTCGCTCCTGACACGACAATATATATATATATATATATATATATATATATTCGGCAATGCATGAGTGATGTTGTCGTTATTGTCTCAAACCTTGCAGCTGCAGAAATGACGCAAGAAACAGTGGAGTCCCTGATGCAGAAGTTTAAGGAGAGTTTTCGGACCAATACGCCCATTGAGATTGGCCAGTTGCAGCCAGCCCTGCGCAGTTCGTCGGTTGGGAGGCGAAAACGGAGGAACCGTCCCAGAGGTGAGCAATCCACAGAAATAATGCCTTTCTCTATCTATCCCACCAGATCTGAATTGCATAGTATGGTCAGAGGCGGCCCTAGGTAATTTTCAACGGTAAGCAAACAGTATTTTGCCCCCCCCCCCCCAACCAATCACTGATATATATTTCTGTTCGTCGTGGGAGTTCTGTGTGCCATATTTGGTTCAATTCCACCATTGGGGGAGTTCAGAATGCTTTTTTTATTATAGGTGAACTATACATCCCAGTAACTACAACTCGCATATGTCAAGGTCTATTTTCCCCCAAGAGAGCCTCAAGAGCGCCCCTGGGCAAAACCAACTATACCGCGAATGCTTACTTTGCGTAATGGGTTGAGCCGCCCCTGAGTATGGTATAGTAGGCTATACCATGCTATACAATTCCATAAACTCTGTATTGACTTGATTTTCATATTGAAATAGAGTAATTCAAATCAAACGAGGAGAGACTTCCCTTGTATATTATTGTGTGCTGGAAAGAGATTGATCTAGATAGCCTTCGGGATCTCTTCCAACTCTATAGAGTTTTATGCTCAATTTTAGCTATTTTGCTTTCTCTCCATGCATATGAACAGATAGCACGCCCTCTTTTTTTGAGCTTGGCATGGCTGGTGTCATATTTTTTCCATGCTGATGATAGGAAGCTGGAGGAAAGAGAAACGTTTCGATCCTTTCTCTGCTCATTGCCTTTCTCTCCTATTTGTTTTTCATTTATTTATGAGCCTGATCATTTTCCCCCCTCATTGTGTGTGTTATTTTTCTGTACTACAAGCCTGGAGAAACTTATTTTATTACCATTATTATGATGACAATGGCTGAGGCCATAAATTATTCACTTAGTATGGAGAAAACATTCCTTCTCGTCAACTGCTTTGAATGATTTAGCTTGTTTTGTTGTTCCTACACATTCAGGCAGGCTGATGGAAACGGGCACCAGTGGGATCTGCTTGGAGCCTGGCATTCGTTGCTACTCCTTCTTCCCACAGAAGGCAGTTGTGCTTGAGGGCCAAAGCAGATATGAACGGGGAAAGAATGACAAGAATGAGAGCTGCAGCCAGGGGCGGCTCATCCATTATGCGAAGTAAGCGGTCGCAGAACACTTTTTTTGCCAGGGGCGCAGAGGTGCCTCTGTAAATGCCCCTCGACTGCCACTTGAGGAGCGCTCCCTCAGCTCACAACAGCCCTAGCAGTCCGGGGGGAGCCTCGGCTTTCTTGCCTCGCTGCCGGGCGATCCTCTTCCCAAAGGGGCCGGGCCCTTGAGCCTCGCCTAGCCCCTCTCGTTCCTGCTCCACCCGGCCACCGGGTGCACGAGCAGAGCCGGTACTCCATCATTCTCCGCATTCGATCCCTTCCCCATGACTGGCTCCCTTTCCCAATCCCCCGGCGCTCCACCTGCCTCCTCTCCTCTCCCCAATCTGCGGGTGGGCCAAGAGGTGGAGTCGCCACACCTGGCCCGCTTCGGGTCCGGAGAGTGTCTGAAGACCCCAGCGTGCACACCAAAAGTCGCCTCTTCTCCTGACTTTCTCTTCAGCCATTGGGACCAAGAGAGAGAGAGAGAGAGAGAGAGCCCCTCCGGCTGGAGGTATCTCCCACCTCCGCTCCCTCCTTTGTTTTTGCGCCTACCTTCAGGAAAGGTGGGCATCTCCACCTCTCTCTCTCTCTCTCTCTCTCTCTCTTGGTCCCAATGGCTGAGGAGAAAGTCAGGAGAAGAGGTGACTTTTGGTGCACACGCCAGGGTCTTCAGGCACGCCTCTGGACCCAAAGTGGGCCAGGCAAGGGAGCAAGTGCGGCAAGTGTAGTTACTGGGATGTATAGTTCACCTACAATCAAAGAGCATTCTGAACTCCACCAATGATGGAATTGAACCAAATATGGCACACAGAACTCCCACGACAAACAGAAAATATATATCTATGATTGGTTGGGGGGGGGGCGTCAAAATACTGTTTGCTTACCATTGAAAATTACCTAGGGCCGCCTCTGGCTGCAGCTGTGCTGTTACAGGTTGAGCATCCCTCATACCAAAGGCTTGGAACCAGAAGTGTTTGGGATTCTTGATTATAGTTATTATTGCATTTTTGAATCACCGGATTTGTATATATGTACATAATGAAGTATCTTAGAGATCAGATCCAAGTCTAAAGCAGAAATCCCTGTATATTTTATATACACTCTAGCTGGGGTACCCAATATTCTCTGGGTTATTTGAAAAGTTTTTTTGTTTTTGTTTTTTTACAAAATACCTAATGTGGGTGAACCTCCTGAAACTCCATCAATACTTAAAGTTTGCCATGTTGGGCAAATTTGCTCTAGATGCAGCATCAGTGGAGTTCAGTATGCTCTCCAGCTGCAGGATGAATTACAACTCCCACCATGGTGGGTCAGTCCCATCAGAGGTCTCCAGTACATTCAGTTGGTCAATGGGGTTCTCTGTGCCAAGTTTAGTCCAGATCCGTCATCTGTGGTGGTCACAGTTTCTGTGGATATAGGTGAACTACAACTCCCAGAACTGAATGTTAGTTACCCCCAAACCCCTCCAGTAGGTTCAGTGGGCCATGGGGGTTCTGTGTGCCAAGTTTGGTCCAGATCTCTCATCAGTGATGGTCACAGTTTCTTTGGATATAGGTGAACTACAACTCCCAGAACTGAATGTCAATTACCCCCAAACCCCTCCAGTAGGTTCAGTTAGTCATGGGGGTTCTGTGTGCCAAGTTTGATCCAGGTCCATCATTGGTGAGGTTCACAGTTTCCTTGGTTGTAGGTGAATTACAACTCCCAAAAATCAAGGTCAGTCTCTCCCAACCACCTCCAGTATTCAAATTTGGGTGTATTGGGTATGTGTGCTAAGTTTGGTCCAGGTCCATCTTCACAGAGCTGTCTGGATGTTAGTGAATTACAACTCCCCCAAATCAAGTGTGACTTGACCACAGTGGCCCACGCCTTAGTTACCTCTAGACTGGAATATTGCAATGCACTCTACATGGGGCTCCCCTTGAAGACGGCCTGGAAAATTCAATTTTTCCAACTTTCAGCAGCCAGACTACTACCTGGGGCAAATTACAGGGAGCAGTCAACCCCCCCCCTGTTCAAGGAGCTCCATTGGCTGCCATTCATCTTCCGGTCCCAATTCAAGATGCAGGACATCACCTATAAAGCCCTGAATTGTTTGGGACCCACCTACCTTTGTGACCACATCTCCTACCATTTATACTGATTATTTTATTATGTACTTTATGTATTTTTTTTTAATCTGGGGAGCGGGGTGAGTTCCTGTCTGTCTGCTCTAGCTTCAGAAAAATGGGGAAACATTAGGAAAATAGGAAAACAGGCCTCACAACCTCTGAGAATGCCTGCCAGAGATGCAGGCGAAAAGTCAGGAGATAATGCTTCTGGAACATGGCCAGACAGCTCGGAAAACTCACAACAACCCAGTGATTCTGGCCATGAAAGTCTTCGACAATACATTTTTGTTGTTGCATGAAGCAGTGTTTGTGTACACTGAAGCATCAGAAAGACAAAGTGGACACATTCCCTCTTGTCCACATCCTTCTTGAGTTGTGGTGCCCAGAGCCAGATACAATATTCATTGTGTTACTTTTGAAATCATCTGTGCGTTGTTATTTTCTCCCCTGCTTGTTCTCTGGTGCTCATTCTCCCATTTGGACCGTTCCCGTTTCCATGCCGTGCTGTTAATTGCCCCTCTGGTGTGCCAATGACTGGAACTCCATTGCACATTAAGGTGAAATGATGATATCACAACTTAGTACGTTTGCATTTTATGCTCAAATTGAAAACACAAACCTTTCGCCTCATTAATCCTTTGCAATCCCCGTCTCTTACCACCACCGCCCCACTTCTTAAATGAAATTGTCCATTTGGGAGGCATTTATTTTATCTTAACAGCTGCATGACAGTTCCACCCGTGCAGTTTGCATCCGTTGGTGATGCTGGGTAAGTGACAGCCTGTCTTCAGCAACTATTTTTGCTGATGTTGAGCCTACTTGTGATCTTATTCTCCTTAGAATCATAGAATCATAGAATCAAAGAGTTGGAAGAGACCTCATGGGCCATCCAGTCCAACCCCCTGCCAAGAAGCAGGAATATTGCATTCAAATCACCCCTGACAAATGGCCATCCAGCCTTTGCTTAAAAGCTTCCAAAGAAGGAGCCTCCACCACATTCCGGGGCAGAGAGTTCCACTGCTGAACGGCTCTCACAGTCAGGAAGTTCTTCCTAATGTTCAGATGGAATCTCCTCTCTTGTAGTTTGAAGCCATTGCTCCATTGCGTCCTAGTCTCCAAGGAAGCAGAAAACAAGCTTGCTCCCTCCTCCTCCCTGTGGCTTCCTCTCACATATTTATACATGGCTATCATATCTCCTCTCAGCCTTCTCTTCTTCAGGCTAAACATGCCCAGCTCCTTAAGCCGCTCCTCATAGGGCTTGTTCTCCAGACCCTTGATCATTTTAGTCGCCCTCCTCTGGACACATTCTAAGTTGTCAACATCTCCCTTCAATTGTGGTGCCCAGAATTGGACACAATATTCCAGGTGTGGTCTAACCAAAGCAGAATAGAGGGGTTCAAATGATTGAACAGAAGCTTTCTTCCAATGACATTTCAGGTTATCGCGGGTGCCATGAATCTGTAGCCCAACCCCTGCCACTGTCCTCCCCAAACACAATACTGCCCACCACCCAAGGAATGCTTTCATTCGGAGACAATTTCATCCTAGATTTTATGTGTCTCCTCCACCACAGACATCCCAGTGTTTCTGACTCTCTCCATTGGTGTGGAATTTGCATGATTCCACCCAGGCCTGTAGCGAGGGGGTGGTTTTAGGGGTTCAACCCCCCCCCCTGAAATGTTTCAGATTTTTTAAAAAAACCTGGTTTACTCATGAATTTTAACTGGTTAACCAAATCCCCATGCTAGTCTATGAGATGCAAAAAATTAAGAGTCCCTCCAGAACTGCAAGCACTATC